ATAATCAACGTTACGCTATCCCCACCTAGGGATATAAGATCTTCTTTCGTCCCCGACTCACGTCGCATGGTCTTTCATTCAGACAATCAGAAAAATTTTCAGACCCAAATGTGCTGACATGTGATGTGCACATGTAACCCAGATTCAGAACAGACAAGATGAACACTTCCGGATAGTGATGGTCTTACACATTCCTACCTCCAGCAAGATTAACAGATCTAAACCATACTGAACTGTTTTCATAAATAATCATTACCTCAGATGGAGAACAACGTTTCTGACGCTTGTCTCATTTCTTTAATGAAACAGCCAAGAGACATGTGTCGGCAATCGAAATCAATCGCCAGATTCTATTTCGGTATTACCCATTTTATCAAAAGATCCCGGATACCACGGGTTCACTTTGCATTTATAATATACTATAGATCTTCAGCCCCCACACATTTTTGGTCTTTCTTGTGTTGTACATCCATTTGTTCCTGTAGCAGACGAATCAATCTCGCTACTTGCTCCTAATACTTATTTATCTGAAAGGGATGCCTGTCTTTAAAGGATGTTCACTTAAATTTCAGACTGCATTTAACTAACTATAGATAGTATTATAGGTTATGATTTGACAGTTGAACTCCGTAGCATTCGACCAATCGATTTGTTAAAAATATTTTCCCTTTCAGCCCAGAACATTTAAAAAATTGTCCATTTGGATTCATGTTTAAGTTACAATTTGCAAAGCTGACTATTTCGATAGAAGAGACAAACGGAATTCTCTTGGGGAGAAGTAAACCTGTATGGACGATCTTAACCAGCACATACGGTGGACTATTCTCGCCCTTGATGAGTGAGATCACGGGTAAGGAAAAGTGTTATGAACGAAGTTTCAATAAATGAGATCAACATTTCCACGAATGAGAACCAGTCATCTGACGTGAAGGGTACACAGCGACTCGCCAAAGCATAATGGAGTATGTTTACCCTTTATTATATCAAAAATGTTCTGCGCTGCTGGCGGATACCTCAATGGGAAAGTGATAACAAATGATGTGTTGTTTAAATTGCATTCTTCTCAAATCACGACAACCATTTTCCAGCCTCTGGCAAATGACCTTTTAATTTCGAATGAGTTATCACACGGGTGACTATAAGCTCAAATTCCTAACCGATTTTAGTTGACTGAGAATGCATTACTCAGAGAATAGTTCAATAGCTTTACCAGAATAGTTCCTAATGCACTGAGAAGACAGTATGCAGAGGGTCAATCATGATATTCTCTCAATCAGCATATCGCAGATTTGAAAAGAATATTCATTTTCTCTATGGTCAATGTTTTCCAGGGCCTAACATTTCCGGAGGAGACGGGTATCGCGATTGGCGGAAGCGAAGAGTCGTCACACGTGGTCATTGAAATTCATTATAACAATCCAAAACGAATTGCCGGTAAGTGCCATGCGCGATGGAAATAGTTTGGCGGTCCCTTAGTGACAAAAGAATGGAATAGGTTTTCTACAAGGGGCTACGAAAGTGCTATGAATAATAGTACGTTGAAGGGGTGTACAATTAGCTACACCGGACTTGCAGATGAGCTATAGAGCGTCTCATTATCAGGATGGGTAAGAGTAAAATTGGATCTTTGATTGAAGCGTTATATTCCACTCTAGATTCTCTAATATTATTGATCCTACGATTCAAATTCGAATGTCTTTGTCACTCTACCTGCTGCTCATGAGTCACTCGCTACTTGGTCTTAATGAGCATCAATCAATTTAGCTCGATCTTTAACGGTTCACAATCACACACAGGTTCGTCCTAGGAGAGGACTTCTCTTCAACCAAAGTTTCTCTGAGATTATTACCATTTCAAACATCGAAAGGGAAACTGTGGACCCGTAGAATAATCCCTCATTAACATCCACTCTCTGGACTACAGATTTGTCAATATTTTATCATTGAGATCACAGAAAAATTCATACGTTCGAAAAAGGATTCGACCTGGTACCATGAAAATTGAATTTAAAACTACTCTCATCTTATTAAACTCACATGTTCATAAAATTATTTGTAGACTACAGCCCCTCCTTTTAATTTTTTCCGGAAGTTTTTACATTCCTTAATTTTAAATTTTATAATGAATCCTTTCATTTATTTTGACGGACCTTTTATGTTGTTTAGAAGAGCTTACCCCGTCATCACACAGTCTGTCAATCGGGACGTGGACCGCTATTTAACCCGTTAATACCATTTGATCAAACCAATCAAAGCAAAGACCACACCATTTCCCAACAAGCTTTATCTAAAACCCGTAATGCTTTAGCCACGACCAGTAGTCCATTTGCCTCGACGCACAATCTTCGATCACGCCACTGTAAGTGAGTCAGATCAAAACGTATCGGAATATTCTGAGGTCAGTGGGTGTTCAAAGATTCAGAGATTTATTATGGGAATAACTTACAAGCTCATGCTTTTCTGGTCCCATAGGTTCGTGCGGTGGATTAGGAAACAGTGATACATACAAATCTTTTTGTAAAATGCCACGTGATACGTGCGTTTTCCACTGCTTTACGCAGCTTCACTTATGTTGGAACGTAAGATGTGCTAGTGTTTCATCGAGCCTCAGTTTGAAAGACTCAATGCTTGGAGCACAGACGACGTAGGATGGTAGAGAGTTCCAGATCGAACACACTCTGACTGCGAATGACTGACGCCGGCATTCCAAACGGCATTTTGAGACCACTAGTTTAAATGGGTGTCCTCTAAGATGAACGTTGGGTGATAATTTCAAAAGCGGGCGACACGGATGGCTTGGGTTTT